CTTTGGTCTCCATAAGCAATCCATGGCAGAGGGATGCACACACACACACCTGTGGGTCACACCTGTAATCCCAGTTCTTAGAGGTAGATGCAGGAGGATCAGGAGTTAGTTTCTAGGCCAGTCTGGATTATGTGAGACCTTGTTGCAAACAAACAAATGTAAACTTACATAGAAAAGCAAAGAGTCAAGAATAGCTAGGAAAGTTTTAAGACTATCAAGATTTATCCTAAAGCTTTGTTTATCAAATTCATGGTTGTTATTTTTAAGATAGCATGTTAGACAGCAGGTCAGTGGAATAGACTAGGAGCTGAAAAAGAATACGCTAACATTTCAGAAAACTTTACATTTGACAGGGTAGTGATGTACACCGATGGGAAAGTGTTCATCAAATGTGCTGGAGACAACTGGCATCCAAGCAGAAAAGAATAACATTGGACCCCTAATTCGTGTCATACAGAAAATAAATTCCAGATGAGTTAAAATCTAGTAGTGGAAAAACAAACATTTAGGTTGTTCATGTGTGCATGTTTGCATGTGGGGACATGTTTGTATGTGCCTGCACATGCTTAGGTATGTGTACATGTTTAACATGTTTGCACATCTGTATATGTACATATGTTTATGCATGTGGGTATGCATGTGTGCACATGTATACATGCATGTGATGCCCAGAAGTCTTCTTCCAGCTCTCTCCACTTTATTTTTGGACACACAGCCTCTCACTGAACTTAGAACTGTCTGTTCCTCATGCCTCTGCCTCTTCAGCAATTGAATTGCTGGTGTGCACTGCCATGTCCAGCTTTAATTTTTTAAGATCTATTTTTTATTTTGTGTATGTGTGATATAGGATATCTGCATTTGAGTTCAGGTGACAATGGAAGCAACAGATCCTCTAGAGCTACAGTTACAGGCAGATGGGAACTGCCTGATGTGGGAACTGAACTCAGGTCATTGGCAAGAGCTGTATGAATTCTTAACTGTTAAGCCGCCTCTCCAGTCCCCATGCCCAGCTTTTTTCATGGTGTTGGGGATCCAAACTCAAATCCTATAGCAAAATTTTTCCAATTGAGCTATCTGTCCAAACTCAGAAGTTTAAAACCTTTGTAAGAAAAGATTGCCAGACCTTTTAAAATATATAAAAACAAGTGTCAAAGATCAGTGTATTTGTTCATATAAATTGCCCAACTTCTGGATAACAAAAGACATTGCAGGCAAGGTACTAGAGTTGATATTGGGGGAAAAGACTTGCAGTGCATATATCAAAGGAAATACCTATACCAGGAATTCAGAATTCCTAAAAAAAAAAGTCACTAGAAAGGTAACTTTACTGAGGGTTGTGTAAAGGTAACTTTACTGAGGGCAGTTAAGCAGCTTCCATGTGCAATAGTCTTTTTTAAAAAAAGTTGATGAACATATATTTGAGGAAATGTCAACAAGGGCACCATTTCACATCAGACTGGCCAAAATTCCAATCTAGTGATATTGTTCTGGCAGGAATGGAGAGCATTAGGACTCTCATAATTGCAGGAAGAAGTAGCAATCGGTACAATGCTGCCAGGTGGTTTCATGTTACCCACTGGAAGATGGCATTGATGTGAAGTGCCTCCTTCAACAAAATGCTTTATGTGTTGAGGGCTAGGTCCCCAGCTAGTGGATCTGATCACTGACAGCTGAAGGGGCTCTGACCTAATCAATGAGTTAATTCACCGATGGATTCAAAACTTGTTGGCATCATTGGGAGGTGATGGGAAATTTCATGGAGGAACATTGTTGGAAGAGGTAGGTCAAGATGAGGATGTCCTTGAGATTGATACCTTGTTCTGGGTTTTTCTCTGGCTCCCTCTACTTCCTGGGTGTCACTAGGTAAAAGGACCATGTCCCAACCTGGACTATGTAGCTAGACCCTGTCTCAAAAATCTAAGAACTTCTAGAGCTCTTGCAGAAGACCAAGGTTCAGTTCCCAGCACCCACACAGTGGCTCACAACCATCCATAACTCCAGTTCCAACATCTCTGACTCACTCTTCTGACATCCCAGGGTACTAGTGGCGTGAGAAATACACATGCATACATGTAGGCTCATATAAATAAAATAAAAATAAGTAAATCTTTAAAAAATAAAACCAAGGGCTGATGAATGGGACGTCTATGTCACATCCTCTTCTCCAAGACTCAGAGGCCTTAGAAGAAGTGGACAGGAATTGTAAGAGCCAGAGACTGGGGAGGATTGAAGCAAAACCGTGTCCTCTGGACATGACAAGACAGCTTCGCTCCTGAACTCATAGCAGCGGTGATTTCCTGCACACGACCGGCACAAGATCAAGCCAGTAAACATTCTAGCATAGAGTTGGGAGGGACTCATGAGCCCCACCCCTAGCTGAGGAGCTATTGTTGCTCGTGGGGGAGTGAGAATGGGTTTTCTTTAAGGGTGTGGTCCCTAGTAGATAGGCGGAGCTCCAGTGGATGACCCCACACCCAGGAGTATATAGGAAGCACAAAATTGGATGGGTAATTTAAAAAAAAAGAAGCATATGACATTGGGAGGGGTGGGAGCAAGGGATTGGATTCTAAAATATGGCCTCTACTTATAGAGTCAAACTGAGTGTGGTGGCACACGTCTGTAATCCCAACACTTGAGAAGTAGAGCAGGAGGAGCAGGAGTTCAAGACTACCATGGGCTACTACATGCATAGCAAGTTCAAGGCCTGCCTGGGCTATACAAGACCCTGTATAAAAGATTTTAAAAAGCAATGTCAGGGTGGAGGATGTAGCTCTGTGGGTAGAGAGCTCAGATAGGTTCACGGAGCCCTGAGTTCATCCCAGTACCACATACACAGAGCCTGGGAGGCAAGCCAGTGCTCCTGGGGGGGGGGGTGGAGCAGGAAGATCAGAAGGCCAGGGTCATCCTTAGCTACAGAGGGAATGTGAGGTCCGTCTTGCCAGCATGAGATGCTGTCTCAACAACCAAACTAAAAAACTAGAGTATGGGAAAGCTGAGGGAGAAGTGACCAGCTTTCACTGGCATGACTTTGCTGAGATGGCTCTTAAAGGGTTAGTGGGGTTCTGCCAAGGAAAACAACGCACTTGTGGCGTTGAGAGCAGATCTTACACTGAGATTCAGGCAGCAGAAAGAGCTGACAGGAAGGTGAAGATCGCCGGCCACCTGGCTCATCAGGAAAGCGCATGGGACTCTAACCTGAAGCTCAGTGAGGGGCAGCTGGGGGTCCGGGAAGATGGCATCATTGGGAGATGACCTTTTAAGAGGCATTTGATCTGGCAGGCACAAAGCCTAAGTTTGTCCCTCCTCCAGCCATCCCCACCTTAAAACTCTTCAGAATAGCTCATCTGGTTTAAATAGACATAAATGCCAAACCCCTTCAGCCTGGACCTGCTTCATTCATTACTTATTGAGAACCAATTGTTTTAATCCCATTTCTTGAGTTAGTAGACTCAAATGTAAATGTGTTTGTAGAGAGGACCCTGTGTTGTCAAACAGGTCTAAGGCAGGGATGCTGGTTACCAGTTCATGCCCCAAGAGACTAGCTGATGGAGTCCAGGCCTCCCTGGCTCGGTGCCCTGTGAACTTTCCAGCTCTGACCACTAAAAAGGTGTTGCTTCTCAGTAGAGTTCACAGAGGTCCTCTCAGTAGGCCTCTGGATCCCTCTTCCACTGTTTATATTATATGCTGCCTCTGAGGAAGGGCTGGAAACCAGCCTGGCAGACATGGATAATAACCATGGCGTCTGTGCCTGAGGAGCCACGTGTTATTTCTCCAGAATTGCCTGGCATTGTGCCTGAGGCCTTGCTGATTCAGCCTGGTGCTGTCTGGTATGCACCCAGCTGCTCAGCCTTCATCCAAGGTCACAGGTGTCCCCTGGAAGATGCTGACTTTGATGTCTCCACTGGGCACTCCCTTCCATGCCAGGAATGGGGATGGAGCTACAAATAATGTAGCCATGAGCCCTGACTCTGTGGAACTTCTCATCATGTGGGAGAGACAGACCCTGGGATAGACTACCTAAATGCTTTGGATATAGACGAGGAATAAAAAATTCAGGGAGCTGTGACAATGTAGGCAAGACAGGGAGAAGAGCCTGGTCTCAGGTGGTGGGGACAATGACAAGGGCAGGAAAGCCTCAACTAAGAGGGAAGTGTCCTCTGACTCCCAAGAATGTTTGGGAGTGGGGCAGCCAAGAGAGGGACGGAGTGGCTGGGGAGACCTCCTTTACAGGGTCACCTGTACCTCAAGCTGGAGGCTCCCAGACCAGGGCACACACTCCTTGACCCACCTTCTTCTTTTAAATCACATTTATTTACTTATTTAGTGTGTGAAGGGGTGGGCACATGGGTGTCATGGTGCATGTGTGGAAGTCAGAGGACAAATAGAGCCAGCTCTTTCTTTCTACCACTTAGCCCCTGGGATCAAACCATCGCCACCTTGCCCAGCATCACCACCATGCCCAGCATCACCACCATGCCCAGCATCACCACCATGCCCAGCATCACCACCTTGCCCAGCATCACCACCATGTCCAGCATCACCACCATGCCCAGCATCACCACCATGTCCAGCATCACCACCATGCCCAGCATCACCACCTTGCCCAGCATCACCACCATGTCCAGCATAACCACCATGTCCAGCATCACCACCATGCCCAGCATCACCACCATGCCCAGCATCACCACCATGCCCAGCATCACCACCATGCCCAGCATTGCCTGCTCATTCTTAAATTCTCTCTCCCACCACCATGCTTTCTCTTCCTCTCCCTTTCAATGTACTTTTGTCCTTTTCTCTTGCTTATCTGGCTGCTCAAGCTAACAGTAGGAAGTGTGTGGGTGGGCTGTCTCAGGAGGCGTTTCCTAAGAACCACCCAGCAGTGACAGGAACCCTTCGGGGGGCCTAGAGAACAGTCCCCTGGAGCTGATGTATGATTTCTATTACACAGGATTGGTGAAAATCACATCTCTTCTTTTTCCTCTGTCTCACCTCTGCAGGCTTATATTTGGCACCCTTTATCCTGCGTATTACTCCTACAAGGCTGTGAAGTCCAAGGACATTAAAGAATACGTAAGTAAAGCCTCTCGTTTGGGGGTGGCTGATGGGGTGTGTGGCTGAGTGTGAAATCGTGGTAGAGGAAGATAGTCCTTTGGTGTGAGTACTGGTGGCAAGACCTGCTCATGCGGCTTCTCAGGAGTCCTGTCCCCTTCCCAAACTGCCCCCTGTCCAGACCCTAAGTGCTGAAGTGAGGAAAGCAGAGACTATGAGAGTAAATTGTATCTGGAACTGGGGACCGGGTGCCATGGTGACTTCATCTCTCCCAGCCTGGGTTTCCCCAGCTGGGAAACCCTGCAGACCACAGATCACCATCTGGCATTGAGAGGTGCACAGGTCTGAGGAGCCAGCTGACCTGGCTATTTCCTGGCACTCCAGTTCTGACCCCCTCCAGGCCATCTTCCAGGCCCTAGAGTTTAAGCTCTTAGAGGATGAGGTGTCCGCAGCCGTCTCTCTGTAGCACCTTGCAGAGAGCTGAGCACATGGCAATGGGACCGGACGACTCCCTGGTTAGAGGATTGTGATAGTTAATTGTTGGTGCTTTGGGTGCTGCATGCATCATTCCTGGTGATCCTGGGACAATGTCAAGTGAAGGATGCGATGAAAATGTCCTTTACCTTGTAGGGGACTAGCCTAGGTCAAAGTGCGGAGGATGTAGGCTTGGTCGTAAAGAAACTGAGTTACCAAGTCCTAGCTCTGAAACTTATTGGTGCTAATTACATGCTAGACAAGTGGCTTAAACCTCAGGTCATCTTCTGAACAGTGGGGTGGTGACAATCCCTCGTCTTCTTAGATGATGCTTGACAAGTTTGGGGTCTGGAGTACTCACTCATTAGAGAATTGCAATAATTAATGTTGGGTGCTCCCAGCATTATCTCTGGTCATTTTGGGGTGTGGGTGAAAAGATACTTCAAAGGCTGGAGAGATGGTTCAATACTGTTGCTCTTATAGAGGACCAGGGGTTCAGATCCCAGCACCCATTTGGGGAGGCTCACAACCACCTGTAACTCCAGCTTAGAGGATCCAACACCATCTTCTGACCTCCTCAAGCACTTGCACACACAAGTACATTCTAATACACACAAAGAAAGAAAAGTAAAATCTTAAAAGAAAGAATTAATTCAGGGATAGCTTGGAAGTCATTATTTTCATGGATCTCACAAGAAGTCTTTCTGATGAAGACCTCTAGATCAGCTACAACCAAACAAAGCTCAGCCCCTTTCTCGCAGTTTCCCAGTAGCTTCAGCTACTCCTACCAGGGAATCCAGAGTGGGTAACTCCTGGAGGCCAGTCCCTGGTATGTGTGAGGACAGCTCCACGTGCACACTATAAATAGCTGAGAAGCTGCAAACACAGAGGCTCTTGCTTCTCAATTGGCACAGCCCAGGCTAAAGCAACAGGCAGCTCCTTTCAGCCCTACCCCTCCTGACCCCTTCCCACCTGTGGTGCTCAGCAGCTGTGCCAGGCAGGGAGGCCTTCCTGAGGTCTGGGCAGAGCAAGGACTGATCGCAAAGCAGTGGCTGAGCGTGCTCCCTGCCAGCTGGGAGAGATCAAACCCTCGTAAATTGTTATGCACTGACTAAACTCACAAGAGCCTGGTGTATGACCAGAATGGCAATCCATTCATTTGGAGTGAAAACTAACTGACAAGTCGAACAGCTGTTCTGTGTTGGCTGGCGTGTGCACACTTTTCCCCCTCGGGGGAAGCTTGGGAGTTAAGATTGTTTCTGGGTAAAAATGGCATTGGGAGACAGGAGTTGAGCAGTACTAGGGGAGACCTGGCTCCTTCCTCTGTCCTCACATGCTTTCTCTGTCTGTCTGTCTGTCTCTCTCTCTCTCTCTCTCTCTCTCTGTGTATGTGTGTTTCTCTGTGTCTCTCTCTGACTCTGTCTGTCTCTGTGTGTGTCTCTCTCTCCCTCTCTCTCTCCCTCTCTCTCTCTCCCTCTCCCCCCCCCCACACACAATGTCCCAATATTCTCAAAGCTCTAGCATGCCCAGTGTCTGCATATCACACATGCACTCACAATGTTAACATGTTTCCTTCTTGTGGTCTGTTCAGTTTTATTTTATGGCTGTGATGAAACATTCTGACAAGGGGCAGGAGAGACGGCTCCATGGTTAAGAGCACTTGCTGCTTTTCCAGAAGACCTGGGTCCAGTTTGCAGCACCTGAGCTGTGTGGCTCACAACTACCTGGGAATCTGATGCCCTTTTCTAGGCTCTGAAGGGCACCTGAACACATTCTCTCTCTCTCTCTCTCTCTCTCTCTCTCTCTCTCTCTCTCTCTCTCTCTCTCTCTCTCTCTCTCTCTCTCTGTGTGTGTGTGTGTGTGTGTGTGTCTGTCTCACTCTGACTCTCACACACAGATTAAAAAATAAAAATAAATCTTAAAATTAAAAAGAAAGAAAACACTTTGACCAAAAGCGGCTTTAGGGAGGGAAGAATTTGGCTTACACATCTAGGTCTCTGTCCATCATTGAGAGAAGCCAGCCAGGCACTCAAGCAGGACCTAAGAGGCAGGCCTGCTTGACAGTCATGCAGCAGTGCCTCTGGCCAAGGAATTCACTCACATCCAAGGACGTATAGCAGAGACCAGGGAGACTACTTCTCTGATGGCTTGATTAGGCTCATGCTCAGTACCTCCCTTATACAGCACAGGACCACCCACCCAAGGAATGTGCTGCCCTCGGTGGGCTGGGCCTCCTACACCAATTAATAGTTAACACAATCTCCTATGGATGTTGCCACAGGCCAGTTTGATCTGGGGAGTTTCTTGATGAAGACTCTTCCAGATGATTCTCATCTGTGGCACTCATAACCACATTTGTCCAGAAAACCTGGGGCTTTCCTGTGACCCGAGCCTCTCCTCCACTATCCATCTCCATTAATTCTCATATCCAGTTGGTGACCATACCTCCTCATCCTTATGACTATTGTCATCTTCCAAACCAGGTCCTTCTCTACAGCCACTCCCTGAGACTTGCTTCACACCATTTTCCCTGCAATGAGTCAATGGTCTCTTGAACTAACTTTTTAAAATATTTATTATTTTTAAATTGGTTATACCTGAGATTATACTATTATAATTTATAACATATGTACAAAAGCATAGGTTATTGGATAATGCAAATTTGTTTTACTTTATGTGTATGGATGTTTTGCCTGAATGTCCATAAGTGTAGGGCATCAAATCTCCTGAGACTGGACTTACAGAAAGTTGTGATTCACTATGTGGTTGCTGGGAATTGAAGATGGCTGAGCTATGTCTTTATCCCAGGATAATGCAAAATTTTAAGACTGCAACAATAACTCCCTCATGACTAATATTTATATTGCTGAGTTACTCCCTTGTGGTTACACTCTCATTTTTATATTTTTGTTATTATTTTAAAGTTTTCTTACAAGTTTTGGATTAGCTTCTTATTGTCACTGTAACAAGTTTCCATGAACTTCCCAGCATAAAACAACATACATTATTAGATTTCGACTCTGGAGTCACAGGCAGGGCTATTTCTTTTGGAGTATTTGGAGGAGAGTCTGTTCCCCTGCCTTTGTGGCTCCCAGTGACAGTTGCCCTTCAGCACAAACCCTTTCCTCATTCTTTGGAGCCAGAGGCAGTGTCTCTGAGTAGTCCTCCACAGGCACCTCCCCCTCAGACCCAGCTGGGAAGAATCCTCCTTTAAGGATGCATGTGATTACAGTTGGTAGGATGATGGCCTTCCCATCCCAGTGTCCTTAATAACCCTACTATGTAGTGGTCACCATCCTTGGTGAGTTGCTAATAGGGAGACCCTTTCTCAAAACTGAAACTGTTGGGATTAATGGGTTAGCTGATATTAAACGATTCATTGGGCAAGAATGAGTGAACCCTCAGGGGTTCCTGCCAGAGACAAAATTGATTTGCATCCTTATGGAAACAATATTGTCATTGAAATCAGTTTTCTATAATCTATGAAGCTATAAAAAAAAGGCCAAACAATGTTGAGAAGTAAGATACCTAAGAGTCAGGATAATTGGGAACTGTATGCTGGACACCTGGCATCTACAGGACACCCAGACTTTTCTAATTTTTTCTGATACCTTATCTTTTTTTTTTTTTAATTTCATTTACGTATTTAGATCCCCGTTAGAAATCTTACATTGGTTCTTTGCAGTTCAAGATCCAGTCAAGAGCTTTGTTATTTTTGTGGAAGATTTTTGCTCTGTAGTCCAGGCTGACCTCAGCCTCATGATTCCCCTGAGAATCCGCGTGCCAGGATTCTGGCCAAGACTTTGAAGACAGCTCATAGTGTCAGTTTTGGGGTCTTCTCCTCTCTGAGGGCCTCCCCTCTTGAACTTGCAGCCACTCGGGCAGGCTCAGGCTCCTTCCCCAGCACTTTGGGGCTTTCTCCTATGGCATAACTAACCCGGGTTAAGTCTAAAATTTCTCCAAGGGATTTGCTTAGAGTCTTACTCTGATTGTACAACAGCTCCCGGCGTGGAAGGAGCTGCGCCTGAGCTGAGGAGGGGACAACAGATAAAGTGCCATAGCCTGGACCTGCCTCAGTGTCCCCTGCCTTGGGATGGGCAGCCATGACCCTGTCTACCAACTCTGTTCTTGACAGGTCAAATGGATGATGTACTGGATTATCTTTGCCCTCTTCACCACAGCAGAGACGTTCACGGACATCTTCCTTTGCTGGTAAGTGCTCCAGGTGCTGGGATGTTTCAGAGGGCAGTTTTGTCTGGTGTGGGGAGAGGTGGGGAAGGACCTCAACCTTTCCTTGGACCAGAGGAGCAGGGCCAAAGCTGGAATGTCAGTTGGAACATTTTTAGTTGTAGACAGAGTTTCTGTCCCACCTGGTCCCGCAGCTGTTCAGCCCCGAACAAATACACAGAGGCTTGTATTAATGATAAACTGTTTAGCCAATGGCTTAGACTTCTTACTGGCCAGCTCTCTCAATTATTAACCCATGTGTCCGTCTACATTTAGTAAGTTACTCCATAAAGGTTATTCGAGTGAGTTTCCCTGAAGAACTCCCTAAGAGCAGGTGTTGTGTAAGGAAGGCACTAGGGGTGTGTCAGACTACACGGGCAGAGCTCCTCTATAAACGGAGCTGGTGAAGTATTGGCATGTCAGAGAGGAGAGACGTGATATCTAGGAGTAGGCAACGGAAGGGGCTAAGCCTCAGGAGTGAAGCCCTAGTGCTCTGTGCTTGAGGTCCTGGGCTGGACGCCCAGCACTGCAGGACAAAATAAGCGTGCAGTCAGAATGCCACATTTCCTCCTAACCCTTGCGCTCTTCTCATAGCCGCTATTCACATTTGTATGTCCTCTCGAGACATTTGTTGGCGCCAGGTGTTGTGGCACGCGCCTTTAATTGCAGCGCTCTTAAGGCAGAGGCAGGTGGATCTCTGTGAATTTGAAGCCATTTTGAACATAGTGGGTTCCAGGACAGCCAGGGCTGCAGAGAGACACCCTGTCTCAAAAAAAAAAAAAAAAAAAAAGCAAAATTGTTGGTATGTTAATAAACACACCAACATTTTTACTCTTAAAATTGTATTATTCTCTGTGTGTGTGTGTGTGTGTGTGTGTGTGTGTGTGTGGGCGCTCGTGCGCTGCATATGAGGCATATGTGGTACGTGTGAGCTTAAGCGTGCCATGGTACACATGTGGAAGAGAACAATTTTGTAGCTATTTCCTTCCAATTGTGTGTGTGTTCTGGGGATCAACTCGGGTCACCAACCTATCAGCAAGTACCTTTACCCACTGATCCAGCTCATGGCCCAATATTCTTTTTATGGTAACTTTTTTTTGAGACAATGTCTCAGTGTAAGCTAGGCTAGTCTTTTCCACTGAAAACCCTTTTTCAGATTCCTACGTGCTGGGATTACAGGTGTGTGCCACTTACGTTTTTTTTTGTTTGTTTGTTTTCTATTTTTAAATAATAGTATTAGACATAGCATTTCTGTTTGCTTATTGAATCTATTTTGGAAATACTTTCATGTGAGCATAAGTGTATCTACCTATTTTTCAATAACTATAGATGAAGTGTAATTTATTTAATCAGTGTCCTTTTTGGAAAGTTTAAAGATACATTTTAATTTTAATCGTGTGTAGGTCTGTTTGCATGACTGTGGCAGGGGGAGTTGTGTATTTGAGTATAGATACTGAGGAGCTGGAAGAGGACATCAGATCCCCTGGAGCTGCAGTTACAGGTGGCTGAGAGTGGTCTAACAAGGTTGCTGGGAACCACATCCGGGTCCTCTTAAAGAGCAGTATGTACTCTTAACCACCGAGCTACCTCTCCAGTCCCAGTCAATATCCTTTTGATGGACATTAAGTTGTTTGGCTTCTTTTGGTGTTAAACAATACACTTGCTAGATACATATCTTTAATCTCAGCACTTGAGAGGTACAAGTAGGATCAAGAGTTCAAAATCAGCTAAAGCTATGTAGTGGGTTCAAGACCAGCCTAGGCTACATGACACTTTGTCTTAATTCTTTATCCCAAAAAGAAATTAATGCAGCTATTTTTAGCAGTAGTAAACTAAAAACCTTATTTGCATTGATATACAGCTCTCTCACAAAGATGGTGAATAATACAGTGTCTTGTTCATATTTAAGGGGGTTGGCAGGTATTTCCATTCTGGAGAAGAAGGATTTTTACTCTAAGAGGGCCAATACAACATAGGCCCAAAGTCAGACCTGGACAGTAAATCTTTGAATTTCATTTTGAATCATTGGCCTTAATTATTGGAGAACATAGCTATGCAGTCTTTCTTCTGAAGGAACCATGTGTCAGCTCTAGCAAGAATCTGGATTTCTTTTTTTATTGGGGGAGGTTCGAGTTGGGTTTTTTCTGTGTAGCCCCAGCTGTTCTGGAACTCACTCTGCATGTAGACCAGGCTAGCCTTGAACTCAGAGATCCGCTTGCCTCTGCGTCCTGAGTGCTGGGATTAAAGGTGTGTACTACTATCACCCAGCTGGATTTCTTGATTCAATTCGTTATCTTCAAAACAGGATGGGCTGGCTTTGTGAGTAGAGCCAGAACTCCGTTATGCCATCCTGTATTGTCCCCAGAACATGGAAACTGTCACAGGAATCAGAGCACTGTGTGAGAGCTTACATCAGGAAGGCTCCCGTGTCATCTGTAGAGATGAGGATACTGGGTCCCTGGCCAGAGTGGGTAGTCTATTAAATATGGTGGCCAGCACCTGGAGTCATCCAGTCGCATGGCCAGGGTCAAGGGGTGGGACAGCCAGGGCTCTGTCTAAGGGCTCTGGAAAAGATTCCGAATCACAATCATTCAAGCTGTTAGCTACATTCTGTCTGTTGTGGCTGTAGGACCAGGGGCTCTGCTTTCTTCACATGCAATTCTCCCTTCTTCAAGCTCACAATGGTCTCTTGGTCCTTCTCAGGCTTCAGACTCTGTCTTCTACTTCCAGCTGAAGATCTGTGTGTTTGCTCTGAAACATGTGATTAGATAGGCTCACCCCAATAATCCAGATATCTCCCCATCTTAAAGTTAGCTGTGAGTAACTTTCATTGCATCTGGTCTGTCTGGAGTGTTTATGCAGGGCTCGGTAGACTCCCTGCCTTCCTGCTTGTCGAGTGGAGGCCTCACCCCGTTCCCCTGTGGCCCTCTTAGCTGTGGTGTCTAGGAATTCATGGGTAAGAAGTGCAGGTTCCCTGCCTGACTCCTGGAGGCCTTGGTTCTGCAGAGAAGCGCTCTCCTGGATATGGTCCCTCAGGCTGCACTCATCCCCATTCCCTCTCGTTCACTACCCTTCCCAGGGCAGTTTCCTCCTCATAGTTCTCTCTCTCTCTCTCTCTCTCTCTCTCTCTCTCTCTCTCTCTCTCTCTCTCTCTCTCTCTCTCTCTCTCTCATTTTCTCATGTTCTACCTTGCGGAGGTGGTTTCGTTTAATCCTTTTTAAATTATAAAGTAATTTGTGCACATGGCAAAATAAAATTGAAATAATACCTTGAAAATTAAGTGCAGGGACTGAGGATATGGCTGGTTTGTGGAGCATTCGCTTAGCATGTGTATGACCTGGGGTTCGGTCCCAACACCACCAAAGAAAAACAGACAGACAGGAGGAAAGGAAGGCAGGGAGTGAGGGAGGAAGGCAGGGAGGAAGGCAGGGAGGAGCAGAAGGGAGGAGAGAAGGAAATCTGTGGGATGGGGGACAGCCTCAGTGGAAGAGTGCACACTTAGTATGTGTGAGACCCCTCAAAATAGCAAGTCTTTCCCCTCCCCCATTCCATCTACTCAGGGGTATCACAATGAAACGTTACCCGTGTTTTCTTCTAGAAACACTGTACACGTTAATTGCATGTATTTGGATGTTTTTGTCGCATGTCCAGTGCCCTTATAGAAGACAGGCATCTCCCCAGAGCTCATGGAGACCGCAGCTGCCGGTGCCTTAGAAGCCATTGAGGAAGTGGGGGCAAGTTTCTCCTCAGATACATACTGGGGAGGTGGGGGCGGGGCATGATTCCTCAATGGCATCTCAGCATGCAACCTTTTCTACCCCAAGGCTGAAGACCAGGATGGTAGGACGGGATAGGAGCAGACTTAGCTGGCAGAGGTTATGGTAGTGAAGCCAACAGATCTGAGCCTCTGGCGGCCCCTCAGGGGCTTGTTTTCAACGTGTGATGGTTGGGGTAATACCAAAGACAGTTAGAAAAACTCCAGGGGGGTGGTAAACAACGAAAGGAAATGGGGGTGCACTGATGCCTTGTGCCCCGCTAGGGCGTTGTCCATACTGGCACTGTATTATATGGCCTTGCTATGGGCTCACCCAGTTGGCTAACTTCTCTCCTAGGGACAAGGATGTACCTAACCTATTGTCCTAGCTGTCTTTGTCAACCTGACACAGCTTAAGAGTCATCCAAGAGGAAAGCATAATTGAGGAACTGCCTAGATCAGATTGGCCATGGGCAGTCTGTGGGGGATTGTAGTGATTGCTAACTGGTGTAGGGGAACTCAGCCCAGTGTGGCAGCAAACCCCTTGGCAGGTGGTCCTGGAAAGGTAGCTGAACCTGAACCTGTGAGGGAACAAGTCAGCGAGTAGCGTTCCTCCCGGTTTGCCCTGAGTGTTAGGCAAAGCAACCCTTCCCTCCCCTAAGGGAACAGACTAGGACACCCGTCCTGCTCTGCATGTGCCTTTCAACTAACACCTTTACAGAAGGTTTTCTCAGTGGAATGAATCCATGTAAAAATGAGCCAGGGGATCAGTCAACAAACAGTATCTCAGGAAGTAAGTAGAGCAGGAAAAAATGACTGTCAGTGTGAGGGCAGTGGTGGTCAGAGACAGGAATGAGAGCCTTGAGACTCTGGTTTTGCTGTCAAGAAAACACTCAACACGGGCAAACAGTAGCTTCCTTCTCAGTGACCCTGGAGGTGAAGCTGAGCTTTAAACCAGAACTTAACAGGCTGAGCTTTGTTGAGAAGGAAGCGCAGGCTGCGAATGAGGAAATGGAACCAGGACTGGGGTAGTGCTGGGACCAATGGAGAGGCTGGGTTTCCACTCACGAGCAACATTTGTAGAGGTAGATTGGGGCCTGTCCGTTCTTCCTTACCCACGACACAGCTTTAAGAGTTGTTTTCTTTCTGTCTGCAAACATCCCGTGCTGGAGCAGTGAGCCGGCAGTCGGCTCATCTCTGGAGTTGTTACATTCCTACACCAGCATCCCATCCGCTTCAGTGTCCTGGTCCTGTGATAAGGATGGGCTAGGAGAACACACGGGAGACAGGGAGGGTGGAAGAAACCACATGGATCAATGTTTTTAACATTAACTGTCACTGGAATATGCTCTGTTGGTCTGACAAGAGATGGCCCAAGAAGTGAACCAAAAGGTGGGGAGACAGGAAAATGTTTATTATTGTTTTTCAGAGACATTCTTATGGGTATATTTGTGTGTATGTGAGGGTATATGCGTGCATATGCATTCATTACAGGCATGTGTGTGTCCTCTGAGGCCAGAAGAGGGTGTCGGATTCCCCTGAGGTATAGGCAGTTTCCAGTCTCCCAGTGCTGGGAACCAAACTCCCATCCTCTTGGCAGCAAGTGTTCTAAGCACACGCTGTCTTTCCAGCCCTGCAGGAAGGTTTTTAAAGCTGCATCAGCGTGCGTGGGGTATGCCAGAAAGATTCTAAAGAGCAAGTGGTCTGTAACAAACGGTTCAGAGAATCAAGGTAGGCTGGGCAGTCCCGAGAGGCCCCTGGGAGAGTCTAATAGGCATATGCATTCCTTAGACCCTAATCCTGTAGCCTGGGACAGAGGCTCTTAGTTGGCTGTAGAGTGAGAATGTAATTACTCGGTCTGTGTGGAGCTGCCTGCTATCTAGAAAGTGCACACAGATAATCCACCCCTGTGCACCCACACCATAGCCTCATTTGCATGTGTATGCAAAGGAGTATACACAGGAAAGTTTGCTGGAAGCTTGGCTTTGTAATAGACAAAGTTTGTCATTAATGCCTTTGTCTGGAAGATGCGTGTACACCTATAGGAAGCCATGAAGAAAACCGAAGCTTTCTGTGTTCTGGTATGAGACAGTCCTCCATGTATACTGTTGATGCTGTGCAGATTAGGGAAAGCAAGGTGTAGAAGGAGGTATAGAGATGCTACCATGCTCCCAATGCTGCCACCAGGCTGCTAAGGGCATCACAGGTCCCTACATGATTGAATAGTCCTAGCTCCTAGCTCAAAGTGAGCAAGAAGCTAATTGAGAAAAGAGCCTAGAGGTCATGGCCGGGAAGGAGACTCTACTGTACACTCTTAGATATATACTGTATACTTTAGCACTTCTTAACTGTGTACATGCATGACCTACTTTTTAAAAATGTCTTTTACATAATAACCAGAATTGCTGCAGTGTGACGGCTGCCCTTGGGACTGTCTGTGTATCTTAGGCTGGTGTCTGAGCTTGTTGGATTCAACCGCTTTCTTTCCCTTGGGCTGGCAAATAATTTGTTTTCAAAACAAAAGTCCCCCCCATTATTAATCACCAGCATGTTTCATTCCGGGGGAATCAATCATGCCTCTCCTCTTTCAGCTCTGGTCTTTTGTGACTGTGAAAGATGAAACAGCCCTGCCAGGAAAGGGTACCCCCTACCCCCTGCTCCCCACCCCCTGCCCCCCACTCCCTACCTCCCACCCCCTGCCCCCACCCCCGACCCCCCACCCCTGGCCCCCACCCCCTATCCCCCACCCCCTGTGCCCCACCCTTGCCCCCCATCCCCAGCCCCCACCCCCTACTCCCCACCCCCTACCCCCACCCCCTAGCTCCCACCAGTTGCTGGGAGAATATTCAGGAAGAGCCTACTGGAGGCAGAACATAGACAGGCTTTGGTGAGGTCGAGCTTCTGATGGGCAAGAGAGGACTAGGAGAGCATGAAAAGGCTCCGACATGACTTGCTAGGGATTGCTTTTATTTTCGACTCCCTTTATCCGGGAAGGATGCCTGGGAAAGATTTACTGTTTGATGCCTCAGACTAGTGTAAGAGGCCTTCTCACCCACTGCATTGTGCTTTAAGGATGCCTGCGATTTGTTTTAAGTAGATGTGGTTAGATTTTTTTGAACCTGAAAATGACTGGCAGGAAGGGAGCTACTTATTCAGCTCACAGATCCGTAGAAACAGAAAGTGCAGCCTACTGCACCACACAAGGCCAAAAGGGTAGGTGCTACCCAGGATGGTTCTGGAGGCAGGAGTGGGAACAGTGGCTCTCGCTGTCAGCACCAGGGGAAGGAATGGCCTAGGAGGGTTTGGGACTTGGGGTTTGGGGTTGCTATTGTAAGTGGTTCTGAGATGCAGGAGCATCCCTGGCTCCTGGTGCTGCTCTAGGGACATGCAAGCACCTGCAGAATATGAGATCCTACGGGCTCTGGACTGTTGCCCTGTGTGTGAAAGCTGTGGGTCTCTAAACATAGGCCTTTTCCTCACCCACTAGCCCACTCTCATTCCCAAGATTGATTTCCCTTTCTTAATAGACTGTCTCTATTTCTACTTTTACAAAAAAAGCAAGGAGGATGGGCATGGTGGTTTGTACCGCCAGTCCCAGCACTCAGGAGGTGGGGACAGGGAGATGTCTGCGAGTTCTAGGCTAGCTTAGTCTACATAATGAGTTCTAGGCCACTGGGACTACAGGTGAGACCCTGTCTATAAAATAAACTAAAAAAGGCAGCTTGGGGGAGGGTGCTAGAGAGATGGCTCAGCAGTTAAGAGTGCTTGCTGCTCTTACAGAGGACTAGAATTAGATCCCCAGCATTCATTACAGGTGGATCAGCTTCTGAGCTTCTAATTCACATTAGGTGGATCCCTGACTTCTACAGGATCTGATGCCCCCTTCTGGCCTCCGTGGTCACTGCACTTACATGCATAAAGCCACACTCAGACACAAAATTTAAAAGTAAAATATTAGAAAAATGTAAGAAAGTTCAGAAGGACCCTGTGTTTGTACTGGGGAACTCATTCTTGGCTAGCTCTAGGAATTGGCTTCCCTAGTAATTCCCCAGAGTCAGCAAAGTCTCAGGATGTCAAACTGTCAGAGTATAGAAAATCAAAACTCGTGGTAATCTACGTTACTCACAGCCCCAGGTAAAGACTGAGGTGGTGGAGTTGAAATCTGGGTCAAACTCTACTTACCACACCATGACCCCACTGACTGCATCCACTTGAGAGGCTTGGTTTTTCCATTTTTTCAAAGACTGTAGACCTACTGTAACGCTTGTCTGGAGTTGAAATTATTTTATCAGTCAATCCTAAATACAAAGATGGCAGACCCTCTCCTCTCCTCCCCTCCTCTCCCCTCTCCTCCTTTCCCCTCCCCTCCCCTCTCCTCCTTTCCCCTCCCCTCCCCTCTCCACCCTCCCCTTTCCTCCCCTCCTCTCCCCTCCCCTGTCCTCATACCTCCATCCTGTTTCTCTATCGGTTGGTGTTTCTGAAAGTATATGTTCATGTGTGCATGCGTATATTTGTGGGCCAGAAAAGAGCTTCAGGTGTGGCTTTTCTGATCAATCTATTTTTTTTTTTTGAGACAGGGTCTCAGTGGCCTGTGACTCATCATAGAGGAGGCTAAACTGTCTGGCCAGTGTCTTAGGGACCCACCTGTCTCTGTCTCCCAGTGCAAGGATTACACGTACTTGCTACCACACCTGGCTTGTCTTTCTTTATGGGTGCCATGGGTCACACTCAGTTCATCATACTTGCAAAGCAAGCATTCTCCTGGCTTCACCACCTCCTCAGCCCAGGATGCCAGAATCCTGTCTCTTTCAGGAGATCGCAGGGGCCTTCTTTACCACTCCCCTCACGGCGCCACGGCTGGCGCGGATGGATGTGGGGGGGTGTTTGCGGGACAAATGAATGAATGGGCCTGAGGGTGTGTAGGAGTCCGGGATCGTATGTCACTCACACCCCACACTCTTCTTCCTTTTGGCACACACAAAGAAGGTTAAGATCTCTGTGCCCGCCACTGAGTTGAGTAGACTAAGCAGGATGCCGTACCTGGTGGAGTCGGGCTCCTCTCCCTGCCCCTATGAGACAAGAAAGGGAGGTGCCTGGCCAGTGTGGAAACCCTGCCAGCTTCACCTTGCTGGAATGCCCCTGGCCTCTGTGTCTCCTGGTGATAAATAATGACAAGGTGCCCAGATACAGACTTGATCCTCTGAGCCCACAAGCTGCAGCTGGATCCACATGCTAACCACAGTGAGCATAGCCCTGCAGTTTCCCCTGCAGCAGCTGCCAGGCAAAGCCATGCTGCAATTGCTGGAGGGAACCTGCCTTCCTGCTTTTCTTGGGAAACAGAAACAAAACAAAACACGAACTGGCTTTCAGGGAGCAGTCTTGGGTGTGTAGATGTGCATGTGTGTGCACGTGCCTTCCGTGGGTGAAGGATGAGGAATCTGGGAACCTGTCATCTGTGTGTGAGATGGGAGGCATCTGTGTCAACCACCGTCTTTCTACACGGGCCTCAGGCAGTGCTTCTGAGAACCTAATGGAATGTGTATCTTCTTATCTTTCCAGGTTTCCATTCTATTATGAACTAAAAATAGCATTTGTAGCCTGGCTGCTGTCTCCCTATACAAAAGGATCCAGCCTCCTGTACAGGAAGTTTGTTCATCCCACACTGTCTTCAAAAGAAAAGGTAACTGGCACTGCTTCTAGCAAGCAAAAACACTCAAAGTTCTGTGTAGAAAGGATTTTTCTGTTGAAGGGGACCCCTTGTGGAGGATTAGAGGACAACTTGCAGGGAGAACAGTGGGTCTCTCCTTCTCCCACAGCTGTCCTGAGATCTGGGCTCAGGTTAGAAGGCTTGGCAAGTACCTCTATTTACTGAGTCATCTCATCAGTCCATCCTCTCAATTTTTTTTAAGATAGGGTCTCAGCCGAGGGTTGATGGCGCACGCCTTTAATCCCAGCACTCGGGAGGCAGAGGCAGGCGGATCTCTGTGAGTTCGAGGCCAGCCTGGTCTACAGAGTGAGTTCCAGGACAGCCTCCAAAACAATACAGAGAAACCCTGTCTCGAAAAAAAAAAAGATAGGGTCTCATTCTGTAGTCTAGGCTATCCCTGAATTCACAATGTAGCCCAAGTTGGCCTCCAACTCATCATGATCCTCCTGCCTTATCCTCCTATGTGCTGGGGTTAAGGCTTACACCACTGTACCCAGCTCCAATGCCGTGGTGCTGCACACCTTTAATCCCAGCACTCAGGAGGCAGACGCAGGCAGGTCTCTGTGATTTCAAGGCCAAACTGGTCTACAAAGTAAGTTTCAGGTCAGGCAAGACTAAACATTGAGACTCCTCCCCAGTTGTTTCTGTAAGCTTCTGTTTGTTTTTCAGATTTCACTTTTATTATTCTAATTGTATGTATCTGTGGAGTACAGCATCATGATTTTATACCTGCATGTGATTTGTGCTGACCAAATCAAGGTAGTTAGTGTTACTATCTCCTTACACATTTTTAAAATTATTAGTACATAGTAATTGTACATATTTACAGGATACAGTGTGATATTCCAGCATTTGTACAATGTGTGCTGAGCAGATCAGGGTAATTAGAAATTCTTTCTCTTTATTCCTGTGTCTTTGGAACCTTGCACTCCCCCTCTCCCTGTCTCTCTGACTCTGTCTCTCTGTCCCTGTCTCTCTCCCCCACATTGTGAACTACTGTCCCTTATGACACTGCAGAACATTAATGCTCATTTCTTCTGTCTGTAGTGCTGTTCCTATGTCCCTTGTCTCCTCTCCTCCTCGTGAACTCTACATCCAAACTGACCGTTTTCACTTCCACTCAGGAAAGAAAACGTGGTATTTGTACTTCTGGGTCTGGCTTATTTCACTTTACCCAGTGTCCTTCATTGTGGCCCATTTTTCTTAGAAAGATTATTTTTTTGTATCATAGCTGAGTAATTTTCCTTTATGCTTATATACCATATTTCCTCATTTATCCAATGATGAGCATATGGATGAATTCCATATTTTACTATCATGAATAGTACAGTAATATCTGATTAGTTCAAAATGTGCACAGTTATCTCAGTAGATGCAGGGATTCAATATTCCTTGGGCTGGAGAAATGCTCAGCAGTTAAGAGGACTTGTTGCTCTTGTAGAGGACCTGGATTTTTCCCACCACTCACATGGTAGCCTACAACCATCTGTAATTCCAGTTCCAAGGGATCCAACAGCCTCTTCTGATCTCTGCAAGTGCCACACACACGTGGAGTTTACACATACATGCAAGCAAAACATTCACACACGTAAAAATAAAACAAATAAAAAATATTAAAAAACTCAATATTCATGACAAAGTTATCAACATACATGGGCATCGTAAAAAAACCATGTGCCACAACTCATATTATACCTGACTGGGGACAAGTTCTCAGTTTTGTCTTTGTATCTTAGATAAGGCAAGTATGTGTCCATCTACACTGCTCTTACTCTTATAGTATTGGAAGGTCTCTCCATAGCAGTCAGCCAAGATAAATAAATAAAAGGCATACATACAGGAAGAGAGGAAGTCTACCACTCCTGTTTACATATAATCTGATTCTATATATATAGAAAAACCTAAGGATCCCACAAAAAGACTAATCTAACAAATGAATTCAGTAAAGTCAAAGATTCACCCCTCCAATTTCACACACGTGCAAAATAAATAACGATGACTTTGAAATATTTCTTGAAGTAGAGAGCAGTAGAGTGAGGTACCCAATGTGCATGCATGACTGTACATATCTCCCCCCAACATGCATACAGTACACACTAAATAAATAAATAGGGATGAATCTCCAAGCAAAGAGTTATTTGTATTTCTAGATAGTAAACATTGCCCCTAATGCATATCTACATGGTCTTTGTAATGACCCACAGTAAGAGAATTATTGAGATTATTCCAGTTTTCTTCCTATTACAGTAATTCTGTACTAGGCACTACCACACACAGAGTTGGTTCCTTCTTTTTTTTTTTTTGTTTTTGTTTTTGTTTCTCTGTGGCTTTGGAGACTGTCCTGGAACTCACTTTGTAGACCAGGCTGGCTCGAACTCACAGAGATCCGCCTGCCTCTGCCTCCCAAGTGCTGGGATTAAAGGCTTGTGCCACCAACGCCCGGCTAGTTCGTTCCTTCTTTTATCTTAAAACAATTTTCCCAAGAGAGGAATCACTGGCCTAAATGATCCTAACAGTGTGTAATTCATTAATTACATTATTTCCTAACAATTGTGTAGTAGAAGTCTTTTGAATAAAATAGGAGTCTGTTAGGTCTTGAACGTGAAATGCCCTTCACAGACTCACATGTCTGAGGGGCTGGTCGCAGCTGCCAGTGCTGTTTTGGGAGGCTGTGGAATCTTTTGGACATGGGGTCTCAGGGGAAAATGGGGGTTTGTGGGGCAGTTTGTGTATCTGCCTCTGGTTCAGGTACACTGAGACCCTGGTTGTGCCCCAGACGTCACGTGTCCCTGCCACTGTGACCTTGACTAGCCTCCACCACTGGGTCTTGCCACCGTGATGGACTGCCCCATCTCAAACCATCAGGAAAAAAACAAAACCTCCTTCCTCAAGTCATTTCTGTCACATCTTCTCTCACAACACGGACAAAGGGACCAAACGCAGCGCTGAAGGTAGCTCCCACTGGTGTATCAATGTCTGCAGGTTCTGCCTTCAGTGCTTTGGCTTCCTGTACAGGGAGGCTCTGGGGGAAGAGAGCAATTAATTGGACATCTGTAGACAGCCCTGAACACCCCCTTCACAACCAAACCCACACTCCTGGAATCTCAGAAAGGTGGGGTTAGAGAACTGGATACCTCCTGACTTGGTTATCCATCCCACTCTTCTCTCCTTTCCCCTGAATGTTATGTCTTCCCTGAAGCTGTAGCCTGGCCATTGGAGGAAACATGGTGTCTCCCAAGACCTGCCAAGCATCACTCCCTTGGTCGTCTGGATCACAGAGGCTGGGACTTCCTGGGGAGGCTGTGAACAGGGACCACAGCTGGCTCCTGACCCCTCCCCACCTCCAAGCAAAGGAAACTTGCTCACTAGCAGAGCTTCAAACAGACTGAGGTCACATGGCTTACTGAGCTCTGAAATGAGCAACAGTGGCTACAAACACCCACTTTCTCAGAATAGTGAAAAACACAAAGCAAAGAAATAACCAGAATACACTAGAGATGATCCAGAATCAAGCCAAATTAACAGGAAGCCTCGGTGCCATTTACCACCTTGCCTTTCCCTTGTGCGACACCAGAAGACTTCAATTTCTTTTATTTCAGCATCTGTTAGGTGTCCTGTTTCCTTCCGTATCCAATCTGAGGCACTATCTGGGAATAACAGAACTTAGGAGTTGCAAGATTCCCAATGCTTATCTTGAAGATGAAGAGGACGATGGAGGCTATCACATGTGGTGCTCACCTTGTTTTTTTTTTGTTTTTGTTTGTTTGTTTGTTTTTTTCGAGACAGGGTTTCTCTGTATTGTTTTAGAGGCTGTTCTGGAACTCGCTCTGTAGACCAGGCTGGCCTCGAGCTCAGAGATCCACCTGCCTCTGCCTCCCAAGTGCTGGGATTAAAGGCGTGCGCCGGCCGGTGCTCGCCTTGTTAACCCTCACCATGTACCACAAGTGAAGCACCATCACTCTTGTCCTTCTCCAGAAGAGAAAATTGGGTAGAGGGGCTGGAGACATGGCTCAGCAGTTAAGAGCCCTGGCTGCTATCCCAGAGGACCCAGGTTCTGTTTCTAGCACTCAGGTAGTACCTCACAACCATCTGTAACTATAGCTCCAGGGGCTCCGGCACCCTCTTTGACCTCTGCAGGTCCTGCACACACACACACGGTGCACATACATGCACACAGGCAAAACACTCATACACATAAAATAAATCATTTTAAAAAATAGCAAAGCAAACCTCTAGGTTTTGCCCCTAACTCGCTGAGGTCTGAATTAGAAGCTTTGTTTGTGGCATTCTATCATGCTGGATTCTGTCTGTCTTGTTGAACAACTTCTCAGGGAAAGGCAGGATTGTCTACATCCCTGGAACTTAGAGGACCTTTAGAAATAACTTCCAGGCCTTGCTGGGTCGGTGAATGGTGTGTTTTTGCTTATTCAGAATTCCCCTTTGCACTTGGCCATAGCCAACCTGTCTTTCTCCACCCTCCTATCAGGGAACACATATTCAAAGTGTGTACGACACTGCAGGCCAGTGAGTCAGCCATCAGGCAAGCTGCCAAGCCCGCACTTGGGAAGAGATGTATTTGAACTCGCCAGTTCAGTGTGCCTCTCCTTCTCCTCTGACAGGAAATTGATGACTGCCTGGTCCAAGCAAAAGATCGGAGTTATGATGCCCTTGTGCACTTTGGGAAGCGGGGCTTGAACGTGGCAGCCACAGCAGCTGTGATGGCTGCTTCCAAGGTACAGTACCATGCTGGGCCCTGACTACCATGACTGCTGGACATCTTAGGTCCCCTAGTTGCCTCTACCTGTCACCTATGTGGATACAGGATAGGCTAAAGACCAATCGACACCACTTTGTGGTTTATTTGGAGGTCCCTTTAAAAATATGATGGGGAGCTGGGTGGAGGTTGAGCACACCTTTAATTCCAATACTTGAGAGGTAGAGGCAGGTGGATCTCGATGAGTTCAAGGCCAGCCTGGTCTACAGAGCATGCTCCAAGACAGCAAAAACTACACAAAGAAACCTTGTCTCAAAAAAATAAAACAAAAAGGGGAAAAGATGATAGTTCAGCAGTTAAGAGCACATGCTGCTCTTGCAGAGGTATGGATGGGCTTGGGTCTGATGTGATGGAGGTATGGAGGAGGAGAGGATGGAAAGAAGGGAGGATTCTAGTTAAGGCACAGCTCCTCCTGTTGCACAGAACTGTGGGGAAGTGGGACTCCAGTGTCCATATGACTCCTGACCACCTTGGTGGGATAGGAACTTTAACAGTGACAGATCCCAGACAGCATTTTTGGAAAGGAAACTCTGTCTTGGTACTTGAGATTTATCAGGGTTTACAAAAAGCAGTGAATCCCAAGAAACTTTCATTTCTGATGCAAGTCTCTAAGGTTCAAATTTTTAAATAAAGGAAAAGAGAAGAGACCACCAAGCCCTAAATGTATCAGGCCAACCCTTCAATACAGTGATGGACAACCCTTTCTCAGTCTCTCTCCCTACTGCATCTTCTCTGCCTTGGAAGCCTGGTGGAGGAGGGTACCATTTATTCTTCCTGTAGTCAGAGAATAGATATAGTGTATTTGTCAGCACCAGTCACCCAGCTTCTCAGCCACCCTGAGGCAACAGCAACTTCTCCCAGGTCTGCCTCGAGCTGGGGCCTCCAAAGCCTTGGCGCCATCCTGGCTAGTCATTCCCTAACCCCACTACCAGGAGGGCCATGCCACCTCCATCAGAGCATCTTACCTCAGCTAAAATCCAAAGGGCGGTCCAGATGGTCTGGAACATGCCTCAGAGAATAACTTCTTGCCAGTTCCTTCCACTTGGGTTTTTGTGCCAAAGGACTTCCATTTTCTATCCAATGGTTTTAAATGAGAAAATTCTTTTGCTTTGTGGAAGCCTTGCTTTTTTTCTCAATAAATATAAATATCTCTGGAGAGAAAGCACATCTTCTCCTCCGAAAATAATGCCCTCTATTTTTTGAAACAGATATGTGCTTTAAAAAAAACAAACCCAAAACTTCAGTCAGGCTGAGGTCGATACCAGTAGTTTCCATAGCAACAGTGGACAGTACCCAGCCGTGTCAGAGCATGTCACTCACTATGGGTCCAAATCTGACTTTCATGCCTACACCACCTAGGAGGCTTTGAGTTTTGATTCTAAGTAGTGTTGAGTCAGAACCTCAGGCAATGGGCCCGTGAATCTCTATTCCTAATAAGGTCCCCAGATGATTTTAAACATTCCAATTTGGGTAGGTCACTGCCTGGAGTTCTATCCAGAGTAGAAAACATGGGGTGACTGAGGTTAAAACAGTTTATTTCTGCATTTTTCTTGTGGTGTAAACGTAATACCTTAGACCAATAACCTTGAGGATGAGAAGAGCTGGGGGGGTGGTGTGCTGTGGTGTGTGTGTGTGTGTGTGTGTGTGTGTGTGTGTGTGTCCCAATATGTGAACCAAGACATCATTGTACAACATGAGTCTGTGCCACAGTGGGACTGCATTTCCTCTGTTACGTTATATGATCAAGGAATTGGTCCTCAACCCTTCTAGTGCTTTTTTGTCTATCTTTCCACGGCTCTCTGGATACTACAAAGTTATGCATGGAATGATGAAAGATCTTTTGACCACATTGTGGCTCGGTGGTTAAGAGCACCTCTTCCAGAGGACCCAGATTTAGTTCACAGCACCCATACCACAGCTTACAAGTATCTGTGACTCCAGTCCCAAGAAATCCAATGGCCGTATTCTGGCCTCAGGGGGCCTGCACGCTCATGCTGCACAGACAAATGTGTATACAAAACATACACATAAACATTTTAAAAACAAAAACAATATTGAGCTCTGAGCAGCTTCCATAGTAAAATTAATACCTGCAGAGGATGTTCTTATCTTCCTAAAGTATGGAAATCTTTGTAAGTCCAAGTCATTGAGATGGCTCAGTGTGTCAAGGCTTTTGCTGCCAGAGAGCATCAGAAATGTGGAAGAGTTAACCTCTGAAGAATGCATAGGGCAGGGTTTCCAACTGAGACAACTATCTTGACAGGTCAGTGTTTGGAGCGTCCTGTACCCCTGTTTCCTGGGAATGCCTGATTCAGATGACCTGATACAGAGATTTAGTTCACCAGGCGTTTGATTTTGCCTGTTATTTCTCATTAAGGGCACTTCCCAAAACAGAGGTCAGGAAACAGATCTGATTCTAGACATCCCTGTCCCCAGCTGCAAAATGAAAAGAAAAACAGGAGAGAAAGATACCTGGATATTGGGGCCAGTTCTCAGCATAGTCCATCCACAGACTGTTTCTAGAAGGTCCTCACTATCCTGCTGTCCTCTTTTTCTCACTCACGACTCCAAACCTTCAGTAGAGAGCTCGGTTCTGCTCCCTGCCTTTTCCTCCTGGTGTGTCAGCCTCACCTTACACACTGTGAGCTCATGTGTGAGGCCTCCACTGAGACTCAGGCCAGCCATGTGTCCTTCTATCCAGAACCGGTGCATGTCCTGTCAACCTGCTCATTTGTCCTCCTGTACAAATGTCTGTCTTGATGCCCCGTCTGACTGAGGTCCTGGGACGCAGGAGCACTTCACACTTCATGGAGCTTTGTCATTTGTTGTGTGGGAACAGAGAAATGTATCTTGTTGGCCTGTGCCCATGGCTTGCTCTCTTTCTTCCTTTCTTTTTCTTTCTTTCTTTCTTTTTTTTTTTTTGTGTGTGTGCCCCTTTTACCCTTTATCAGGTGGCTCGACTCTTTCATTTTGTCTCCTCTTTGGACGTCAGAGAAGGGCAGGTAACCCCGTTGAGAGGTGTGACTAACTCCAAACCGATCCAGTCAGGTAGAGAGGCCTGCCAGCCTTCTCTACCCACCAGCCTCTGGTCTGGATCAGAGGCAGGTGTCTTGCTGCCCCGACACCTCTGTGTGGTATGTGTGACTCCATGGCAGGCACACGGGCTGGCTGCACTTTGTATTCACACCAGAGCCTGTTAGTGTGTTTACCCTGCAGCATCTAACACGTGACTAACTTACTCAGTCCCCGCCCCCTTTGTTTAATGCCTGCAGAATGAAGCGAATTTGTACTGATGCTCTCGAGGTAGAAATCCTCGTCTCTTTCTGATTTGTTTGTTGATCCAGTTTTATGTCCTAAGGAAAGCCTGATCTCTGTGTGGCATGCTGAGGTGGGGCTGCCTGGCCCTAATGTGGAGCATGCTCAGCTGCAGACAGTGGGCTCAGTATGATGTGAGCATTAGCAGGAAACACTCACTCTTCTTGAATTACCCCTGGGAAATGTGGTTATGCTAGTGGCTTTGTTGTCAATTGCCTGACTCACTAAAACCTTTCACTTTTATCCTCATTGACATCCATGGTGACGGGTACTTGGGGAGATGAAATGAGCTAAAATTCACACTCTGATGTGCCTTCCCCTGTGACTTGGTGGATCCCTCCAGAACCTGCCTTAAATTGTTCCATCTCTGGAAGTATCTGTCTTACCTCTCAGTTAAATATATATCCATGGGCCATGGTGGTGTACACCTGTAGTCCTAGCACTTAGGAAGTCAGGAGTGGGGGGCTGGGAGGGAGGGGGTTGGGAGCTCAAGGTCACCTTGACTACATAGTGAGCTTGAGGCTAGCCTTGGCTTTATGAAACCCTGTCTCCAAAATAAAACATGGGGTCTAGAGAAATGACTCAGTGGTTGAGAGTCAGGTTCAATTTCTAGCATCCATGGTAACTTGCCAACATCTGTAACTCCAGTTCCAGGGGATCCAATACCTTCTGACCTCCATGGGCACCAGACATGAGCGTGGTGCCCATACATGCAGGCAAAACACTAACACTCATAAAATAAGCAAAAAAATAAAGCAAAACCAAAACTACCTGAATTGTTTTGGGTTTGAAGACATTTGTCACTATAGCAGGAGCCCTGTATTCACAAAATGAGGTCCTCGGGTTATCTTGAGGGATTGCTGTGTTTTGCTAGAATTCAATTGCACTGCCTCCCTAAAGGAGTGCATGAGCCTTATGCAAGATGCAAGAGGGGTAGAAAAGGGTGAGGTCAGTCCTAGCCCTACCACCCGTAAAGCCTGTCACCTTGAGGCATGTTTTCACTGAGCAGATTCAGTCATGGACATTGACAATGGATAACTGCACCCCGCCCACCTCCGTAGCCATCAAAACTGTGAAGATTCCCTCTGGGGTGGACTAAAGTAGCAATGCTCAGTGGTGGAAAAGTATTAAAACCTGCCCAACAAATATATCTCTCTTAGACTGGGCGCCTGGCTCAGTTGGTAGAATGCTTGCCTAGCATGCACAAAGCCTTGGGTTCAAATCCCCAGCACCATATAAATTAAGTGTGATTTTGGATACCTAAAATTTCAGTGGAAAATCTCAGTGGTCAGGAAGTGTAGGCAGGAAGATCAGAAGTTCAGGGTCTATCCTTGGCTACTTAGCAAGTTCGAGGTCAACCTGGGATACATAAAACTCTGTCTAAAAAAAAATCAAAACAACTGGGCATGGTGGCATATACCTTTAATCTCAGCACTCAAGAAGCAGACCTCTGTGAGTTCAAGGCTAACCTGGTCTACACAGAGTTCTAGGTCAGCCTGAATTACACAGTGAAACCCTGTCTCAAAACAAACAAAAACCAAAAAAAAAAAAACCCTCTTTCCGCTTGGTTCCCATATTTGTTTGTTTAAATATGTGGAAAGGGCCCCCCAACACCTTGCCTCATGGGTATGCCGCCTGTCCCCA